TTGGAGAAGTTTCCTGAGAATACTGTGGATAGGCATGAAATCAAACCAATGGGTCATTGAACAAATCAACCCAGAGTTCTTACTTGAGGCATAAATGACTAGTCTTCAATTATCCTACTTTGGACACATTATGCAAAGACCCAACTCTCTGCAAAAGGCTCTAATGCTGGGAAAGGTGGCAGGAAAGAGAAGAAAAGGACAACAAACAGCAAGATGGATGAATTGGTTACAGTGATAGGTGCATAACTGGGAGACCTGAAAGACCAGGTTAGGGATAGATTGTCTTGGAGAAAATCGATGTGGTTGTTAGAAGTAAAAAATTGTACACAATCAAATAAGATATATTAGTATATTAATTTTTATATTAGTATGAAAAAAGAGTAAGAATGGAGGAAGGATTGTATATTAGCCCCAGTTCAGTCAAGATATAGCAACTGTAATGGGGAGGGGGGGGTGATGGGATACCAGTGTCTATGAAAAAAAATAACATGTCTCATGACCATAGAATTTACATTTTGAAATCTTACATTGTTCTAACATTTCAAGCCATTTCCTGCTTGACTATAAAAAATAATCTTTCAGATTTTCTTGTGTGTGACTATTAATACATGAGACAACTCACCACAGCCAACTCGCCGTGGCCAAGTCACTTGCCACAGGATAATTTAATAATTCAATTTAATTATTTAAAATAAATAAATAAATATTTTAATTTTTGTCATTCACATTTCAATCTGTCCCCTTTTTTGCATACTTTCATTAATTATTCTATTCCATCATTTCTTTGATGTTAGTGTAATTGTTATCCCACAGCGAGTTGTCCCACAGCAAGTTGGCCATGGCAAGTTGTCACACGGCAAGTTGGCCACAGGAAGCTGGCCGTGGTGAACTGGCCATGGCAAGTTGGTCACAGCAAATTGTCATAGATAGTCCTCGACTTATGACCATAATTGAGCCCAAAATTTCTGCTGCTGTGACATTTGTTAAGTGAATTTTGCCCTATTTCATGACCTTTCTTGCCACATTTGTTAAGTGTATCACTCCAGTTGTTAATTTAATAATAGTGTTGTTAAATGAGTCTGGCTTCCCCACTGACTTTGCTTGTCAGAAGGTCACAAAAAATGATCACATGATCCCGGGACACTACAATTATCATAAATATGAGCCAGTTGCCAAACATCTGAATTTTGATCACATGACCATGGGAATGCCGCAGTAGTCATAAGTGTGAAAAACAGTGCCGTTGTAACTTCAAACAATCACTAAATGAACTGTTGTAAGTTGAGAACTACCTATACAAAAGCTTAGGACAACTATTATTTACTCTTCTGGGGAAAAAATACACATCATGGTCATTGCTGACAAATAGCACTGTGGCAAAAGTATTTAAATACGTTGGTAAAATTAAACAGTGAATGAAACCAATAAATAACCAGATATTTTTTAACTAAACATCTAGCAGATTTCCCATTTTTATGAGCATAACAAAATGTTAATAAGGTTTTATGAAAGCCATTTATTCTCTTATTCTCTCTTGCACTAAGTCTGAGTTACCCTTTAAGAAACATTAAACATTTCAAAAGGTGAGCCTTCAGTTGTACTGTAATATGATGTGGTGTGGTGTGGTAGGCGCTATTTTGGATTCCTGCTAAAATGACATTGAGGGAAATGATCACATATTTTACCACACACAAATATGTAGCTTTGGATCAACAAATCATCAAATCAGATCTTTATTATGGCATGTTATGGTATCACTTGCCTCCCTCTCTAGATGCTCACGCCAAGACTTAACTGTTTCTGATGAACTTGATAAACTGACCCATATAAACCATCTGGGACAGCATTTCACATGCTGCAGTTTCATCTTATGCAATTTAAACATACAGTACACCGATTTAATTCAGTTTGGATTGCTCTGGACTTTAAATTTTTGAAAGATCTTGTCTTTCAATATTTTTTTCTAATTTTAATCCTTTCTTATGTCTGTTATGTAAGCACACTATTCCCATAGACTGGCTGCAGGAGACTTGGGGTTAAATTTAGGCTTCTGTTTTAAGGATGAAATTCAAACTTTTAATTATCGATTCTGCCATAGAAAGTCTGTGTAAAATGTAATGGAGGATTGATGAAATTAAGTAAGAACATGTTTTAATCAGAAATTGGCTCAAGAAGCTTATATACAACATATTGAAGGCATCCATCATGTGCTGTTGAATTTTATTAAAGGTTTTTAGCCATGAGTAGTGAAACAAGTATTTGTTTTGGGAGGATTTTTTTTAAAAAAAAGGAGAGGAAAAAGAATATTAAAAAAGAAAAAAAAGTTGCTGAAAAGTTTCTAGTTCTGTTTTCCCAAACCTCATCTAGCATTTAGAATCCCCACTATCTCTTCCATCCTTGGATTCATTTCAATTCCACAATTACACTGATTATTGACTATTCATTTCCTATTATTATATATCATTCTATTCATTGTTTTTCCAAATCACTATTTATAACATACCTTCCTGTTATGGCAAGTATTTAAATCAGCTGAAAAATATTGAAATTAAAAGCATAATATAAAGTTAGAAATGCAATTAAGCTTTGGTCTGTGACCATAATAAAAATTGATTGGAGAGAGTGGCAATTGGCAAAAATATTTAAATTCTAACTATTAAAAATCTGGCAAAAAGTCTTTACAAATTTCCTGACTGTATTGAGATTGGGGACTGTATTTGCTGCCAAAGGAGTTGAATTCTTTCTTCCATATATTAAATAGATGGACTTGTGATACAAGGGAAATCTTTGAACAGTTTGCTTCTGCAGATTTTAACACTGTACAGCTTTCAGTTGGGAGAGGCAGTCAATTACTTATTGAGGACCCAAGGTTGTATGTCAAGGTATTTGCTAGGAAATAGAAACAAAAGCAAGCAGCAACTTGGCACTTTGTACCTAGTGTCAAAGAAAAGGAGAAAACTAACTGAAACCTTGCCGATTTCAGTCCTATACCAATTTGTTCCCTATTGCTGTGACTGGGCTACTGCATATCCTGGAACAGTTCCCAAAAAATAGAGGAGGTTGACATAACACAATTCTAGCAGTGTTCTTTCCTTTCCTACCACTGAACAACAAACCATAGTTATAGTTATACCTACATAAAAAAATAGATGCCAAAAGACCAATATGCTATATTTGAGGCTTTAGCTTTTTAATACTAAAACAAGGAAGGTTGTCTTTGCAGTTGGATATGTTCCCTACCAAATTTCTTATCAGAAATAACTATTTCAAGAACTGCAGCAATTTAAGAAAGAGGCATCAATTGAATTTTGTCCCGTTTTGTGTTTTGCACTCTTCCATTTATTAGCTGGAAAAAGCACTGACGTCTCAAGGTGCTGTCGGTTAATTTAACACTATGTTTTTCAAATTTGGTAAATTTAAGAAATGTGGACTTTAACTCCCAGAAGTCCCCAACAAGCATGGGGAATTCTAGCAGAAGGAAATTGTGTTTAATTCAAAATGAATGCATGAAGCATTATGGCACCAAAACTCCATTTTGTTCTTATAGCCTTGATTTAAGGAGTTTAAAATGTGAAGTAGAATGTGCTCATAGCAATATGAAAAACTCTGTGTTTACCATGTACTCTGTAACTAAAAAGATTGCTTTGCTCTGATGGAAATACTCTGTAATTTCTGATTTAAAAACTTGAATTAAAGATATATTCATTCTCTATATATGAAGAATATTAAATTGACATACTGGGAAGTATGATAAAGATTTAATTTTGTGTTTAAGAAATGAGCTTTAACTCTTTTGTGTGTCTTTTTGCAATCTTTTTCCCCCTCCTGGTTTATTTTGTGTGTGTGTTCCCCCCCCCCATGTTTCCATTTTAAAACAATAAAAATTGCATTATCAGGGCTAGCAAATCAGTTTCTGTGTGCTCTTTTCTATTTCCATTTTAGTCTATAATATCAAAAATGTTAAGTATGTTGTATATGATCATGATTATCACTATTACTTGTATGTACATTGAGAGCTTATGCACCAGAAACAAATTCCTTGCGTGTCCAACCACACTTGGCCAATAAATTCTATTCCTATTCTGTTCTGTTCCTTTCTAGTCTATTCATTAGTAGTGGGTGAAATAAGACACAAGAGGAATGTTAGCTTGGGCTTCAAAACTGAAGTAATAGTGTTGGTAGAAATTCTAGCCCACTGAATAACACCAAACAGCAAGTTGAAATCAGATCAGAGATTTATTGGCTACAACGGTTTGCAAAGCATGGTGGACTCCAAATAATTATATGAGCCACACCTAGTCACAGCAAAAACACACACATTATATACATTCTATCCCGACGCCTTGGCCCCTCCTGAGGTTACAATCTTATCAGAGCCACCTAAACAAAATACATTATCCCTGCCCCCTTACTATTTTGCTTCACCTATTCCCTTATATGTACTTTATCATGAAATCCTACAGCTCAGTGTGGAAATCCTATAGCCTACGTGCAGAACTCTTACAAGGTACGTGTACATGTAGAAATTGCATAGAAATCTTGCAGTCTACGTGTAGATATTTTGTGTAGAAATCTTACAGAGTACATGTCACTTAACTTTACTTTTTATTCTAAAATTTTATTCCTAACAATAGGCATGAAAGAGAACAATTGTAATCCCATTAATTTCAGGTTCTAAGCTTAATTAGCTGCCCTACAGAATTAAGAAACTTCTGTAATACCACATATTTTCCATTCTTTTACTAAGATACTATAGACTCTATTGTTCCTTAGACTTTTGTGGCTGTGAAGCAGACCACCAGGAAGGAATGAAAAGAAGTCAGCTGTTTTGCACTTTATGTAGTTTTGCACTTTATGTAGAATGTCCATAACATTATATTTCTTCTAAGCATGAACAAAATATTACTCTCTAGCTCATAAGATCTATGATTACAGTCAAATTAGCTATTCCTTTGGAGGCAGTTGAATTTATAGAGAATTATATTCTGTGTCTCTTCCAGAAGTACAGCTTCTACTTGACAGGAATGTGGAAGGCAGACTGCAAAGAAGCTGCTAAATGTACATATTCAGCACTTGAAGAAATTCTCAGGGAATCTCAAATCCCAACTGCTTCCAAGAAAGCCAAGGGACTAGGGATCTGCCAGCCTCTTCCTGTTCCTCAGAGCAATTGGTGTCAAGGTATGCCCTCTGCTGCGATGGATTACTGGTGAGTGTCATTTGCAACAGTGCAATGTAGATGAAATGCTTGCCTTGCAAGGGAGAGAGGAGTGCTGGGGTTCTGAATCACATATTTTGTACATGGATTTCAGTTGAATAGTAGTCTCCTTGACTGCACGCATTTTCCCTGATTCATCTCCATGCATTTTCCCCACTTCTGGTGCCATCTGCCCAACTGGACAAACTTCCTCCTCTGCCCCAACACATAAAGCTTTTTGCTTGTGTATCCACAAAATCAGAAAGTTTCATCAGAAACGTACGTGCATGCAATGCGCAATGTACTTACAAAAGGGGCAGCACTTGCATCGCAATGTCACAATGCTCATTTTATCATTTTCCTCCCTTGCCCTCTCTTCATGTCCATGTTTTCAAAATTGAGAAAACACTGCATAACCCGGGTTCCTTCAGGCGAATCCCTGAACCATTATAGTGCACTGTCTCAGTTTTTTCAAAACAGCAGTGGTGTGGTGGATAATAACATGTTACTGCTATTAGGCCATAAGTTCAAATCAAGTCACTGATTTTGTGAGGGAAATGGGAATGTATGTTCAGAGTAGGATGTGGAATAAATTACTTTAGTTGAATAGTGACCATTACCTTTGACATCCAATTATTTTTGACATGTTTTGATCCACCGACCCAAAATATCTCAGTCCCAGGCATTAATACTATGAAACAAAGTGTACATGCACAGATTGGTAGAAAAACATTAATGTGTACTACACGAAATAGTGGGATTTTTCTTCCTTTCTTGTTTTTCCTACCTTCAATTGCTTTTGCATGATTTCTCCCTGCCATTTCTTTTCTGATCTTCAAGCAAGGTTGGAAAAGATCATTTGAGACAATGATTGTTGCTCATAAGACAAGGATATTCATTTGCTCATTACTCCTGCATTACTTTTAAGCTATGTAGTATACATGCATACTAAAGCTAGAAGTTTTAACCTATGGCTTGTGTATAGATCAAGCTAAGCCAAAATAATTCAACCACATTTTTGCTTTAGTCTTATATATGTACTATGGAAAAGCTGAATGCCACTTCAGCATCGTTAGAATTCTAAACATAATTTAAAATTATGTTTCTTACTTTATTTTACTTTTTTACAACATAGTATTTTTTACTATTTTAATTAATTTAATTCAAAAGAAAAAAATAGCATGTTAAATCAAAGTAAAATCAAGTGCTTTGAAAACCAGAGCCATACCTGCAAATCCTGTGTTAGAATCTATTGGCCCAACCGAATGAAAACTCTGTTTCATTTTGTATATTTTGTAGTTATCTCACTTTTAAAAACCATACTTTGCTCTGGAAGGTAGGGAAATGCCCAATCAGTGGAAGTTCTCTGCAGCATGCTGAGGAGACGTAACCTTCTCACCACACTTCTGATTGCTTTGCCATGGGGTCTTCTCCTAACTTTGTGGCATCAATATCCAAACACCCGTTATCTCAGCCTTTTAAGAAGTAAGTATATAAATCCTGGTTTACAAAAGGTTTTGCAAGATTCTTTTAACAAATCTTTTCCAAAAAAAGTACTCCATTACAGAAAAATGAGGATATTTTTAAAATAATGTTTATATAATTCTCTGAAGTTTAAGATTTCATTGAGTCAGATGTAAGTCATAAATGATTTGTGTTGGAGATATGAATTCAGGAGCCCTTGTTGGAAAATATGCTCCTGAACACAGCCAGAGTATTGAAAGAATACTGAGTAATTAAATAGTAGAATAACCCATTTTTAAAAGATGCCCATAAGTTTGTCTAGGATTTAGAGATAGCCCAACTATAAGTAAATGTTAACAGACATTCATTGTATTTGTATAAAAAACTAGATTTATTAAGTGCATGAGAGTCAAAAAATACATGCTTTTATCTAAATTACATCTTGAAGACAGGGAAGGTTGTGATAAAGTCTGAAGCACCAAACAGAAGAAAATTCCTTATCTTTTAACAGCAGAGATTCTTGACAAACAGCATAGAATCATCCATTTCATACCCTTTTGCCCTTGTGGTAAAATGGACTCAAAGGCGCTTATTGGGTGTTTATGTTACTCTTGTTGTTGTCTGTAAATAGTCACTAGAGCTTATCTTGTTTGAATTTGTATTGGATTTTTATGAGAATATATTATAAATAGCTCAGAATCATTTGGAATTGAATAGCACCTAAATTGTATTAAACAGTCAGTTGCAAAGAGATGATGCCATTTTCAACAGTTTGCAATTACCTAATTCTTGGATGGATGGATGGATAGATGGATGGATGGATGGATGGATGGATGGATGGATAGACGGACAGCTGGATAGATAGACAGACAGATATTTTCCTGTTTCCCAGACTAGCTAACAGTTTGGAATTTCCTACCTGTCTTTGCTTTAGATACTATCTAGACCTAACTTTTCTGAGATCAGTCAAGTTCAGCTAGACATTGTTGCCTGCTCAAGTTTAATTCACTATTAATCTGTAACATATAGCTAGGGTAAAGGGTCTTTTCTTTTTGATCATGTTTATCCCAATGTTCATTGATAATTCATTGACAGTTTATACTAATCAACTTGTTTTCACTTCCTCTTAGGCTCTTTTGTTCTTTGTTTCTAGACTATTATTTACTCTCCCTTCTACAAGCAAATCCCAGTTTAAATGACTGTTCCATTTCTGAGCCATTCACACAAGCTGAGTTCCATGTAGGTCAGCTGGCTCTTTTGCACATCCACAAAGGGCTGACCATATGTAGCCTATACAGTAATATACTGTATAGGCTGCAATACAAGCTGCAATCCAGATATATTTTTAATCTCTAATTTTCCTACAGCAGAAAAATACACAGCCAACACCACAGACTAGTTTTTGGTTAGATTCTCTTCCCCTCGTTCTATCCAACATAAAGCACTGTGTGGGTGTTTTGCTTTCAAAGGTGAAAGCAAGAAGAATCTTAGGACCTAAGAAGTAGCTAAATTGGAATTATAAAGGTAGCAAGACCGCCCACAGCTGCTGGGGGGGAGGGGCAAAGAATTTATGGGTTGCATAATGGCAACAATAATATGTTATAACTCATCAGTGTTCAGAATATCTTCCTCCCCTACACACAACAGTCAATGTGACCTCAGAGCGAACGCACTGAAAGAAAATTAAGCACTCTCCTGAATATTGCTTCCATGATTCATAGTTGCAAACTGTTAAGGATATTGTTATTACAATAAATATTTGGATTTGATGCACACTATATTTTTACTTTTTGGGGTGTTCTTTTTTCCCTTGAGTTTTTCCCTTTATATTAAAGATGATCCAAGATATAAGGATAGGGAAATAGAATGCCAGTATTAAATCAGAAACAGATGATATAGAGAAGCGTTTTAATGGAAGGCTTACACTATATTATCTTTTTTCCTTTTGTCTTAGAAGAAACAGATGAAAATGGCACAGCCAAGTCACTCTTCAATGGGACATCTCTAGTGAGGGAGGATGGGTTTGCATCATGCACTCGGCAGCCAGCCATTGGGACAGCTCCCAAAATAATCCGGAACTATGTGTACTCCAGGCCTCCCCCATGGTCAGACACATTGCCTGCCATATTTGTGATCACACCTACCTACACTCGACCAGTACAGAAGGCTGAGCTGACCCGATTGGCGAATACTTTCCTTCATGTACAGAACCTACACTGGGTGGTGGTAGAAGATTCTCCTAGAAGAACCAATCTGGTGTCCAATCTACTGGAGAAAGCAGGGATCCATTTTACTCACCTGAATATTGAGACTCCTAAGAGTCTGAAAGTAGGTTTGTCCTGGATTCCATCTCACACTCCCAGGGGCACATTCCAGAGGAACCTTGGACTGCATTGGCTTAGGGAAAGTTTTAGCACCATGCCAGCACCTGAAGGTGTAGTATACTTTGCAGATGATGATAACACCTATAGCCTGGAGCTATTTGAAGAGGTATATTATTCAAGGTTGTGATTATTTCACTTTTGATCCATGATTTAGACAGATTAATAATTACATTTTCTATCCTTCATTCTTTTGATATACAATCTTTTGGTGGGTGGTTAGGGAGGTATATCAAGAAAGGATGAAGATCAGTGGAAATGCTCATGCTTTGCACATAAAAGATCACAGTTTCAATCTCTGGTACTCTGGTTGGGAAAGTTTCTCACTAAATGTAATTTGGCCCTTCCCAGTCAGGTGTCCTGTACTTGTGCTGGACTACAATTACCAGGAATTCCAGTCAATATGATATCAGATGAGTGAAGATGAAATAGGTCCATAGATGATTGGTTAACTGATAATCAGTAATTATAGCTAGAGAATGAGGGTTGCAATTATAATTGTGGTTCTGAAATATGGACAGGAGACTTTGGAAACAAACAAAATATTTGCCTGGCATATCTAAAACTATACCTGATCCTGTTCCGGCATATCTCATATCTATGGAGGAAATGCAGACAATAGTCCCTCAGGAAAAGGTCTTCAGAAGGGTAAGATAGAAAGTAAGGCAGAAACTTTGACATGAAAAAGTAAAAGTAGAAAGAAAATAATGAACATATGGTAATATGTAACTATTGCAAGAGTACAGGTAGTTGGAAAACTCCCAAAAGGGGCCCACAGAATATTATAAAAAAAAATTAGAAGTATTCATGTATTCTTGTTTTCTTTCTGATAAGCAGATGCGCTACACAAAGAAGGTATCTGTCTGGCCAGTTGCTTTTGTTGGTGGTCTCAGGTACGAATCCCCCAAAGTGAGTCCAGCAGGCAAAGTGGTAGGTTGGAAGACTGTGTTTGATCCTAACCGGCCTTTTGCCATCGACATGGCTGGCTTTGCCATCAGCATAAAACTGATTTTGGAGAAACCACAGGCCAGTTTCAAGTTGGATGGAGTGAAAGGAGGCTACCAGGAAACTAGTTTATTAAAGGATCTGGTGACAATGGATGGACTAGAGCCTAAAGCTACCAACTGCACAAAGGTTAGCAAAGTTGGGGGAAAAAAATCACAATAATTTCCCCCACCCAGTGACCATTACTCCCATGCTTACCTTGTTAATTATAAAAATTATAATTACATTTATGTTAATTGTTTAAGTATTGTATAATTACATGCACATACTGTATCTAATGTCCAGATCTAGATATGTTAAAACATTGGAACTAAGGTCTTATATAAACAGCTATTATAATGCAATTGGGCAATGAAGAAACAGATTTAGCACTTTAATCTATATGCAATTAAAATATAAAACACAAGCACAAAAACATATACCTTAATACATGGATATGAGAACAGGTGCAAAAAATTCAAATGACTTTTCTGAATATCCCAAAGGTGCTTTTTTCACAAGGCAACTGGACTTTCTTGTTAACAAGAAAGTCCAGTTGCCTTGTGAAAAAAACACCTTTGGGACAACCATGACCTAGATGACTGAGAATCTCCATAGACTTTTCTGAATGTATTGGCTACCATTTAAAGGTCATATGAGAGCCAGTTTTGTGTAGTGGTTAAGGCCAGGAGACCATTGATTCTAGTCCCACTTTAAGCACAAAGGCAGCTGGGTGATCTTGGACTAGATATTTTCCCACTCAGCCTTAGGAAGGAGGCAGTGGCAAAACCTTGCCAAGAAAACTACAGGGATTTATCCACTCTCTGAGAAAAGAAGACAATTGAATGGAAGGGGAGGGGAGGGGAGGATCATGAAGATTTTTACAGCCCACACTTGCTTGCCCTTCTATGGAGACATTGGCAGATTTTTAAAAAAGATAGATATACAAGTGATCAATCATCGCAATAGAAATACTGTATTCTAGATTCAGAACAAATATCTGTACATTTTTAAATTTTAAATTGGCTTTTTTTGCACATGACAGACATGTAGTTAGGAGCCAGTGTGAAGTTATATGCCCAATTTCCACACTTCTCCCTATCCCCATTTATGCCTTTCATCCTCTATCTCAATTAGCCATTCTTACCTATTTTGAAGCCCTCTGAATGTAATGCAGACATATTTTCCTCCTTGTCATTCAATGAATTTAGCATTTGTGGGAATAAATATTTTGTTGTTTTTATAGCAGCGGTTCTCAACCTGTGGGTCGCGACCCCATTTGGGGTCGAACGACCATTTCACGGGAGTCGCCAAACAACACGATCCACCACTTTTTGGTCAGCCGACGCAGGGGGCGTTGCTGCGCATGCGCGCCGCGCAGGGGGCATTGCATGGGGGGCGTCGTGCAGGGGGCGGCATCGCGCATGCATGCCACCTGCTTATGACCGGGGTCGCCGTATAAAAAGGTTGGGAACCACTGTTTTATAGGATACTGCTGTATCTATAATGACTCTAAAAATAAACCAGGTAAGTGTGTGATTATGTAAATATACACTTAAAAGGAGGCTTGCAATTTCTTTTGAGTACTATTCAGAGATTTCATATGCATAAACATATGTGTACTTATGCACTAGGCAGATTTGCTGATATCTATTATATATTGTTATATAATTTTAATAAAATGCAATTTTTCTTGATAGGTTTTGGTCTGGCACACAAGGACTGAAAGGCCAACCCTAGTTAATGAGGGCAAACGTGGATTTACAGACCTAAGGGTAGAAGTGTAGATAACTTGTTTTTTGCTGTAAGTATAAGATTTTTGCTGCCTCTCAAGATTTTTCTATAACTTGCAAGGAGTTCTTCAAACAACTTCAATGTAGGATTCATTTAATATGCACCAATATGCATCTTTGTCTTTGATAAGTGTATGAATGGTTTACTGTCTCATATCAGTCCTGGTCTGCCTGTAGTACTATATGAAATGCTATCAAAATGTACTTTTGAATCCCACTCTTAAAGTCAGAATTCGGGCCCAGGCATGGAGTTCCTTGATTAGGATATTGTTTTATCTCTGATTGTCTGCATGGTGCTAATCCCTGCTTATCTTGGTCTTGGCTTTTCTAGCTTTTCTGTTTCCTTCATAGCTTTTTTATTGCCTCTTTTCAATATTGTATAATTAAGGCTTGTTTCTATGTGTCTATTGATTTGTCTGAATGTCAAGCTTCCAGGAATTCCCTAGCAGTTTTGAACCTATCTTGATCTAAGAGTTACCAAGAGTCATCAAACTGCAGCAGATACAAATGCAATAAACAAGTAGGCAGCTGTTATCAATCATTTGTATTTCTTAAAATAATTTAGGGGAGTTATGTGGAGACTGGGGGATATTTAGAAAATAAAAATGATGATGAAACCCATACCTTACTTTGCTTCATGCATGTTCACATTTTTAATAGCTATTAATGAAATATGTTTTAAAATTGCATAATCTGGGGCATGGAGCCTTCTAGGCATACAAGAGGACCACATTTGGAGATCTAGTGTTTCTCCCATCATCAAGTTGTCTACAACATACATTAGGATACATTGAAGAGTACCAAAATATCCTGAAGTATATTATTAATCTTGTTCCTCAGTTCACAGCTTGTTGCTATATGCTTTTCTTCAATTATTTTAAAAATAGCTCTCCGATTTAAAAAATTGAATGTCCTTTTTTTCCCCCTTCCTAGTGTTTTTCCTACAAGTGCAGAGTCAATTTGCGTTGATCCAATGGTTGCAACATGAACTGGCTGGCTTGTTGCCTGAGCCTGGCATCATGGGCTGAGAGAGAGAGAGAGAGAGTTTGGCCCAAAGTCATCCAGCTGGCTTTCATGCCTAAGACAGTAGTACTAAAACTCACAGTTTCCTGGTTTCTAGCCATTACCCTAAAATGTTAAGTACAAGGGCTAGCTAATGTAGAGTCAGGATAGTTTCCCATCATAGATCATCCTTGGTTAATCTAGTTCAAAGTATGTGCTATCCAGTTTTTCTTGTAACTGTTTATATTCCCTAACACAAAGAATCAGTGTAGGAACCCTAAAGTCAAAAAGGGCATTGTTTGATTTCATTTAATAGTTAAACTTAAACTATTTCATTAAATAGCTAAACCAAGAATTTTAAACCACTAACCTCTAACAGTACAACACAAAGGGTGTTTTGTTTTCCAGAATATGAGATTTATTTTTATTTTCTTAAAAAAAATAATTAAAAGAGGATTTGTGAAAAAAATCTGTCTTTCAGTCTTTGAAAACTGAACTGATAAAGTTCTGTTAATCTATATATTGCCAAGTTTGTTCTTCTTGGACAGTCTCATTGCTTGATGGAAGTAATTGATTGTGAAGCTGAGCCTGACTCAGCACAATTTCAGTGTTACAAAAGGGATATATTGCAAGCTTCAGGAATAACTCTAAAAGATCCAGGGAGAAGTATTGGTTGGCAGCTCTAAAAATTAAGATGGCTCTCTGTCAAGATTTCAGGGATTAAGGCTTCTGCTCTAGTTAATTACAGTATGTATTGGTAATGCAATATTCTAATTCCATGCAAAATAAAAATGGGCTGTATTCATCTATTCAGCGTGAGCTTAGAATAAAAATGAAAGCAGCTAAAGTAATCCATATTAGATGGCTAACATGGAACATATAAGACAGATTTTTATCAAATGAAACTACTCAGCCATTCAGCCCAGAATTATTTATTCTAGTTAGCATAGATAACAATGACTCTCTGGCAGAAGAAAGAAGTTTACCTATTGCCTGTTGTTTTTAAATGAAATATTAAAGAAAGTGCCTGAATTGTCTGTATACAACCACATCCTGGTCTATTGAGCTATGACTCTTCCATGAAGAAATTTATCATGAGTTTAATTCCTTTCCTGCAAACTAAGTGGACACAGGTAAGAAAACCTGGACATTACCTCTCAATATGCTAGGCTTTATACATGAAGAGGGGAACACTATTGTTTCCACTAGCAATTATATGTTTGATATAACACCTCATTTCATCCTGATTCAATGTCTTTGTGACTTGAAATTATTTGAGATGTAATATGTAGATTGAAATACCTATCTATCTTTATTTATTTCATTAGTTATACATTTAATCCCCCCAAAATTAAAATTTCAAGGATCTTGTAGGAATAAACTAATTCAAAAAATATTACAGTACAATGGTGGAACAGGAGAATTTTTAGAATTGAACAGCTTCAAGTTTGACTCTGGCTGCTGTTTCGTAAACTAGAGCTGGCACAAATGACTGTTCAATATTGTCCATCAGACTGATGAGCACAGAAATTGGATGGATGATTTCTCCCTCCCATGGTACCATTTGATAAGAAAAAAACTCCCCAGAGTAATGAGAGTTGGCACCACTTCTAAAAAAGCTCAGTAGAAGAATTCCTTCATTATGTTCTTAGTTGTACTATCATCTTTCTTCAGCAGTTTGAAGCCAACATGATTACAGGCTACTGGAGAGGGGATGATACACTGAAAACAGAACATACACTCATGGCACTTGATTACTTCATACCTCAACAAATGCAAGAAATGCAAAAACACCAGACACCAGCAATGCAGATTTCTCCAGGAAGTCTCCTTATCATTAAAATGATTTGTAAAAAAAATTCTCATTAATCAAATTAGAAAAAAAGCAGAATAACATAAAACAAATTGGATTATTAGCAGCTGTCCTTTGAGGTTATGTTTCCCCAGCATCTAAGCAATGCATAGACACTTCCTGGCAAATCTCGTTTTTTGCTTGCCTGAGGAGAAGAAAACTGTTAATGATAGTGTTATGTCCTGAGCCTTGCAAGCGGGCTCGGGGCGTTGCAGGCGGTCCCGGGCAGGTGCAAGCTGCCCGGGACCAGACAGGCTGTCGCCAGTGCTTGTGCGCATGCGCAAGTGCTGACGCGCGAAAAGTAACACATTGACCCGGGAAAGTCCTATAAAAGGAGGCTGCGAGTTGTGGGCTTTTGCCGCCATATTCCAATGTAAGCTGAACTGAAGAATAAAGGTTTCCTGAGAACTACAACTGCTTCTCGTGTCTTACCATTTCGCGACGGACTCAACACTGGCGACGAGGGTGGGATTGCCTTACATCGAAGAAGAGAAGGTGTAAGCTTACCCGAGTGAGTCCGGAGCGGCAGGAACGGCGTTGACTCGGCAGCTACCCGCCAATCCAGCGTGCATTCGGGGGTAGGCTGACTGATAGACCCTTCCTGATACGAAATGGCGAAGATTGGAAGGCTTTCGGAATTCGACGTCTCACATCCAGAGAGGTGGGAGTCCTACGTAGCCAGGGTGGAAAACTACCTCAAAGTGAACCAGGTGAGGGAAAAGAGCTTGAAGGCTGCCACCCTGTTGTGCGTTTGCGGTCAAGACGCATTCGAAATCGCCAAGAACCTCGCAGCACCTGTTCCTTTAGAGTCTGTCAGCTACGCAGATCTAAAGAAGCTACTGAAGGAGCACTTCCAACCCAAGATGTCCGTCATCGCGTGACGCCACACCTTCGAGCAGAGGGATCAACGACCTGGAGAATCGGCCAAGGAGTACATCGCCGCACTGAGGAAAGCCGCCAAACATTGCGAGTTCAAGGACCTCGAAGAACGACTGAGGGACCGATTTGTGTGCGGGCTAAGGCATCGAGAGTTGCAACAGAGACTTTTCGCCAAGGAGGATCTGTCTTTCCAAGATGCCTTGAGAGAGGTCACCCCAGAAGAAGCAGCGGGCAGCGCCATCAAGAACATGCGGCCGATCAGAAACAGTACAGATGCTGCATCCGTGCACCAGGAAGAAGTCCAAAGGAACTCTGAGGAGGATCCGGATGAGGAAGTGGACCGTCTCCACCCCACAAAGGAAGGAAAACCAAGAGGAAGCTCTTCAGCTCTCCCCAAGTGCATCAGTTGTGGAGGTCGCCACAAGAGAGCCGACTGCAAGTTCCGCTCCGCTATCTGCCGGGCGTGCGGAAAACAAGGACACATTGCAGCTGTGTGCCTGGGCCGTCAGAAGGTACAACCTCAGGAAGAATTGCTCCTGAAAGGTACCAGGGTCTCCAGCCAGAATAGGGTGGGGTTTTGCGCTTCGCGAAGAAGCATCTACAAGACAGGCACACACAAGCCCATTAAGAAAAAGCTGTCACTTAAGGTGAAGCTACAAGGGGTTCCATTAACTATGGAACTGGACACGGGGTCTGCACTTTCGATCATTTCTATGCACACATTTAGGAAGATTTGTTCCGGCAGTGGAACCCAGGCCAAGTTGAGGCCTTCTGACATTGTACTAACGGATTTTCAAAACTCCAGAGTGTGTGTTAAGGGGGGGGCCACCCTTAACGTACAGTATAAGGATTTTGAGGGTCCACTAGACCTACTAGTAGTAGAGGGTGAACGAACGAGTCTCATAGGACTCGAGTGGTTTGAGGCCTTGGGGATACACATCACAGGGCTCAACAGCCTACAAACACTCGACCTACAGGAAGTCTGCAAAGAATTTGCAGACGTTTTCAGCCCCCAGCTGGGCACATTCCAAGGACCCCCTGTGTCATTAAAGTTAGACCCCACGGTCACTCCCATTAGAATTAAAGCAAGAAGGGTCCCTTTTGCTTTAAAGAGTAAAATTGACACTGAGTTGGACAAACTGACCCAACAAGGAATTCTAGAACCTGTTGACTCCAGTCCATGGGAGACCCCCATTGTCACGCCTCTTAAGGCAAATGGGGACATTCGCATCTGTGCTGATTACAAATGCACTCTAAATAAGGCATTGCAGCAACATGCCTATCCTGTTCCTGTGGTCAGTCATATCCTGGCCTCCCTCAAGGGGGGGCGCGTTTTTGCAAAGCTTGACCTAGCTCAAGCATATCAACAGCTGCCTGTTGATGATGATGCTGCTATAGCTCAGACTATTGTGACCCACAGAGGGGCTTTCAAGGTAAAGAGACTTCAATTTGGAGTAAATGTCACTCCTGGGATTTTCCAAAGTGTAATGGAAAACACACTACGGGGTATACCAGGGGTTTGCCCCTATTTTGATGATGTCTTAATTGCAGGAGACTCCACACACATTCTAGCTGAAAGGCTAAGGGCTGTCCTGTTAAGGTTCAGGAAAACGGGACTCAAACTCAAGAAGGACAAATGTAAAATTGGGGTACCTTCTACTGAGTTTCTGGGGTTCAAAATTGATGCTGCTGGGATTCATCCTGCTGAATCCAAACTAACTGCCATTTTAGAAGCACCTAGGCCAAAGTCTAAGGCCGAACTACAGGCTTTTCTGGGCCTTCTGAATTTCTACAATTCCTTTCTTCCACATAAGGCTAGTGTAGCTGAGCCTCTTCACAGGCTATTAGACAAACAGGCAGTGTGGCAGTGGTCTCAAACACATGAGGCTAGTTTCAATGAGGTCAAGGCCTTGCTCACTTCTAACAGTGTACTTGCTCACTTCAATGAGTCCCTTCCTGTGTGCATCGCTTGTGATGCTTCCCCTTATGGGGTGGGTGCTGTACTGAGCCACCTCAGGGCTGATGGAACTCAGGTTCCTGTTGCATATTACTCCAGGACATTGTCTTCAGCTGAGCGCAACTATGCTCAAATAGACAGGGAGGCCTTAGCTGTTGTTGCTGGAATTAAAAAATTCCATGATTTTTTGTATGGAAGGCATTTCACGGTCTTCACTGACCATAAGCCTTTGTTGGGACTGTTTACCACACAAAAACAAACTCCCCAAATCATCTCCCCCAGGATGCTCAGGTGGTCTATCTTTTTGTCTGCATATGATTTTTCCCTACTTCACAAGCCTGGAAAGGAAATGGGCCATGCTGATGGCCTCAGTAGATTACCCCTGCCGGTAATAGAGGCTGACCCCGCGCCAGCCATCAATATTCTCTCCATTCAAGCCTTGCCCGAGTCCCCCCTGAATGCCAGGGATGTAGCCGCTGAATCAGGCACAGATCACACACTCTCACGTGTCCTTTCTTGGGTTTTGTCTGGATGGCCTGAGCACTGTCCCAGTCCTGAGTTTCAGAGTTTCTGGTCTAAAAGGAACGAGTTGTCCACCTCTCAGGGTTGTCTGCTTTGGGGAAGCAGAGTTGTCATTCCCACCTCAATGAGGACTAGGGTCTTAGATTCCCTCCACGAGGGTCATCCTGGCATTGTACGAATGAAGGCTCTTGCACGCAGCCACTTGTGGTGGCCAGGTATAGACAAAGACATAGAAGCTAAGGTGCATGCTTGCCACCTTTGTCAACGCTCACTCCCTGAAATGCCCCAAGCTCCTATGCATAGATGGGAGGAAACACAGTCTCCATGGTCTAGGGTGCACATTGACTACGCTGGGCCCTTTCAGGGTCAATTCTTCTTGGTCCTCGTTGACAGCCATTCAAAATGGCTTGAGGTTGTACCTGTCTCTTCCACCACCACTGCAAAGACTATTCAGGTACTGAGGGGGATTTTTGCTGCACACGGGCTCCCAGACGTCATTGTGTCTGACAACGGCCCTCAATTCACTTCCTCCGAATTCCAAGCTTTCTTGCAGGCTAACATGATTCGTCATGCCACTTCTGCACCTTTCCACCCGTCCACCAACGGTATGGCTGAACGCATGGTTCGCATCACCAAAGACGCCTTGAAGAGGCTCACCTACGGGGACTGGCATCACAGGTTGGCTGACTTCCTCCTTTCTTATCGCACCACACCGTCCACTTCTACAGGGAGAAGCCCAGCTGAACTTCGTTGGGGGCGCAAACTGACTACCAAGCTTGACCGGTTGCATCCGGACAGACTGCCTCCTTCTGTCTCACACCCCAGGGCACCTAGGCAACTACTTGTGGGTGCCCCGGTTTGGACTCGTAATTACGGGCCTGGTCATACATGGGTCCCCGCATCTATATCCAGGGTCACAGGTCCTCTATCCTACGAGGTATCCCTGGACAACGGTCGTGTCCTGCGTCGGCACATTGACCAACTTCGCCCTAGACGGGACCTTCCCGCTGAGACTCCTGGGTCTTTTCCAGGGGGGGAGGGGGAGCCCTTTGGGCAAAGGGAGGGGCATGGAATGATGCCCATTATCAATGGGGAAGCCACAATCAGCCCATCCCGAGATTCCGCAATTGCTCCCAACAGGAAGTCAGGGAGCCCAACTAGAACCCAGGCATCAATGCCTACTCCAGCCAGGGAGTCACCCCTGGGGCATGATCACTTCTCACCCGCATCACCCAGTACTCCAGTCAGAGAGAATACCCGGGAGCATCCCAACAATCCATTCCCTGCAAGAGAGCTGGCACACACTCCTCCTAGTTGGCCTGACTTCAACCCTGTCCTTAGAAGGGGGCAAACACACAGGGAGGTGGTCGAGGAACCAAATCCCGACTACAACACCTCTGACTACACTCAGGGGACAACTGAGTTTTGGGACAGTACTGAAACCCACACAAGCCCGGACACAGAACGGGATTCAGGGGATAGACAGCCTCCTGACAGGTCTTGGACGGACCTAGGAGGTTCTACAGAAACACCCAACAGTGACAGTCACTTAGAAGGGCCAGAGAGCCTACAGCTAGGCGGGACAACTAGGTCATACACTGGAAGAAGCCCTGGCCTGACGAGCCCGGTGGGCAAGCAAGCAGGCCAGGCATTGGAGCACAGTCCTTGGGAGTCACCAAGGCATAACAAGGGGAACAGACACACATCACCCCTCAGTCAGGGGGTACCTGTCAGACACCCAGAGCTTAGGAGGTCACAGAGAGCAAGGAAATCTCCTAAGTACTTAGAGGATTACATAACACTATTGGCTAAACAGAGCCAGTAGAAGGGTAGAAACACTGAGGCAATGGAAACGGGGGAACTCCGAACATGGAGGGGAGCAGAGCATTGTACTAAGAGTGGGTTGTGTATTATTTGGCATTGGTCGTAGTTTTAGCCAGGGGAAAGGGGTGTTATGTCCTGAGCCTTGCAAGTGGGCTCGGGGCGTTGCAGGCGGTCCCGGGCAGGTGCAAGCTGCCCGGGACCAGACAGGCTGTCGCCAGTGCTTGTGCGCATGCGCAAGTGCTGGCGCGCGGAAAGTAACACATTGACCCGGGAAAGTCCTATAAAAGGAGGCTGCGAGTTGTGGGCTTTTGCCGCCATATTCCAATGTAAGCTGAACTGAAGAATAAAGGTTTCCTGAGAACTACAACTGCTTCTCGTGTCTTACCATTTTGCGACGGACTCAACAGATAGGAACAACAACTCCCATGAACAACTATTGTAACTGAGCCTTAAAACAAAAAATAAATAAAACTTCAGTTGCTGGGGATGTTCTCTTGTCTCCAGAAGCCAACACAGAAATGGTCATGGAGGCACATAGCCCCATGGAAAGATGGGAAAAAACAGCCCTGCAGCATACTAGGTGGAGTTGTGTAAGTCACTAACTTCCCTCAGGCTCCTCCTATTTTCGAATCAGAATATTCACATAGGAAATCACATAATGCAAAGCATTATGTTGATGCAGCAGAAATATTTCATATTTGGAGACTCTGCATTTCAGGAAAAAAATAAGGAACTACAACAAACCAGAGTAAACTTCTTGAGCAAGGAGAAAGTGGTAGGGAAGAGAGGCCAAAATGTTGAGGAAGAAACAATCTGAATGTATTATATATTGTCTGCTCCCAGAGTATCATGCAATTCCACTTCCTCAAGTTTTTCAATGCAGTTCCTGCTGCCATTATAAAGGAAATTGCATTCAACTAAAGGATGGTATTGTTTTAAAACTCTCCTATATGAGGAAATGTCAGAAGCCCAGTATTATTGGATAGCTTTGGACCAATGTTGCTCATTTCAATATGCCGATTGACACTTTTCTGTAATTTTTTTTTAAAAAGTGGATGTGCATAGCTCTATGCATTTGGGGAGAAAGGTGGGATGAAAATTTAATTATTAATATAGCATCAGAAAAATTGTTGCAAATCAGCTCTGAACTTGCTTTTCTTTTTGTGTCAGGAAGAAGTTTGTGGTTTAGATGAAAACTATACTGTTCTACTGTCAATCCTGGCATAAATTTATGTACTTTTTCATATTCCAAATTCTGCTGAATCTTCCAAGAATATATTATATATGCCCTTTAAAAACTCCCCTGTTCTTGTTGTTTGCAGATAGTAACGTCTTACACACCTGTCTATGATCAGCAGAATACTGATGCAACAATCAAGAATAACATCCACATTTGTGTTTGCATTTACCAACTTCTAAGTTCTTTAAAATCAGGGAAGAAAGTAACAAAGCCAATGTCATATTCAAGGCCATTTGTTCTATATTCTAATCATTCACTGCACAACTAAGAGGACCTGTTTCTTCATTGTTATTTCTGTGTTGGAAGACATTTTCAAGAACATATCCCATTTGAGTTACAGTTAAGAAAAGCCGAGTTGGAGTAAGGGGCAAAATTTCTTTTTGCTGGTCCACACATTTGAAGCTTTGTTTTGCAATATGTATTAAAACATCAGCTTCTGAAAATCTGCTCCAAAGAATGATAGTTCAAAGAGAACAATTTCTTGCATACTACCAATGAAATATTCCACACTATTGCAAGACAGAGTCACTCTCAGAATTGCTTAAAACCTCTTTTAGACTTAGGAGTTCTTGTATGAAAAAATGTGGGTGGGCAATTCTTGCTTGGAAGATCATGAAGAAGTGTATTGGAGAATGAGATATGCATCAGTTCTCTTTTTCATATCCAAGCCAAGACCAACTAGTTTGTCTTGAATCTGAATGACAAACTGAAGTAGAAAGTTTGAGAACTTCAACATCAGCAACTCAACATCATGTCCCATGGCTTTGTAGATAAATCTTTGTCATGAGAAATAGAGACAATAAGAAGCACTCAACTACTTAGTTTTCAATTTGTGGACAATATATCACACAGGAACTAGTTATCATTTCGCTTTTGGAACTAGGATATCTCGCATAATTAGTATTTCTTTGGACCAATCTAGCAAGATTTTTCTTTAGACTTTGTAGCTTTGTTGATATCTTGCATATTCTTAAACTTTCAATGCAGCTGCATGATGAATTTCAATATGTGGAATGATACAGATTCCAACCAAGCCATGCTTGGAGTGAATAGACAATGTTTACTTATACTGAGCCATGGAATCCTAGCTTAATACATGTGAAGACAGCAAAAATCTTTTTAAAAAAAGTAATACTAAAAAGTGAACATTCACAAATAGTAGGATACCCCTATCCTTCATTTTTGATTGCAAATACATTCATCAATTGTGAGCATCAGTTGGAAACAGAAGTGTTTATTAGCAATCAACAATCATATCTGTAGATAACAAAGTGTTGGTAGGTCATCAGCAAGTGTGAATTCAAATGGAAAAGTAGGTTGGGAGATATATGGGCCAAAAATGTAATGGCTGGTAAAAGCACAAATATTTGTTTTTATTAAGGCGTGCTATACTCACTTTAAAAAAAACATACTTTTGATGTTTTGTGATATGTTAAGTTCTTGCAACTGAAGAAACTGAAGGAAAACATTTTCTAGCAACTGAGCCAATTCTGAGTACGTTTCTGAGATGTGCCAGAATATGTCTTTATTTGTTGACTTATTTATAACATAGGTCTTTTCTGCCTACAGTATTTCATTTGTATTAACCTGGATTGTCTGCTATTTTTATGGAGAATATTTTTATTTCTCTTCCACCCTATGTTCATCTGAAACTCAACAGGGAATTACAATTTTTCTACTCACTGCTGAAATGTCATATATATTCATGCTCACTGCATAATGTCAGGAAATGACTGGTGTCTCAAATTAGAAAAATAATTAGAAGCATAATAATGTGAAAATTTAAAGGAAAAAGAGACTGTGGGAGTTAAAATTGATAGAAACAGTTTGTCAAGCCTTTCAATTCTCTTACCATCTACTTCTTTGCGAGAAACCAAGGATGTCATCTCATAATAGAATTCAGTGGCCAGTAGAATCCTCAGAAGCTTCTAAAAACATTATCTGGTTTAAAAAGTAATTGAAGACTAATTGTTAGATCCCACCTTGCATCTATTTATGTTGATAGTAAGAAGAAAAGTAAAGTAAAAAATAAATACTGCCAAAAAGAAATTTGTTGGCCATTATTTTCTTCAGGGCTGTTTTGTTTTTATTTGTACTTAGCATAAGATGCCTTTATTTATTACTTAATAAAAATTGCTAAATGACATTTCAGATTTGCCTGAAGCAATATAATCTTCATGATAATGAGATGTAAACTCCCAAAGAGAGAAGGATCTTTTGGCACCATATTGAAGCTTCCAGAATAGGTCAAAAATTTCAGCCTAGCCTATTAGTGATATCAATACTTCACTCCCATGTGCCCAACTTCCATGGAAACAAATATATATACTAAAATGCAGTACCCGATCAGAAGAAATTTGACCACCAGTGATAAAATAATCACGATCTATTTGGGCTAATGGTTCAGTCTTGTATGCCCTTACTTTGGGGGGAGGGATTTGGATTTGCCCAAAGAACCCAGATGTAGAAAGGCAGAGAGAGGACAATATGAAGAGAGTTAGGTGGAAATGCCAGGAAGGCTAAGATTCATGGAAATCTTCTACTGAGCCACAGAGAAAAAGAAGTAGAACTTGAAAACAGAGCTTCCAATCTTGCAGCTGGTTAAACATATCTCAAATTCCCAAAGTTCAGTCCTGTCTTGCCTTCCCTTTGTGCATATTGAATGATTAGCTACAAAATGAAAAATAAGAACCGTGTGGCTGAAGAAAAAAGTTTTTTCACTTCTGTTACAACAAGGGAGCAAATGGAATTGGTGCAATGAGTAGAAAGTTACTAGAATCCTGAACTATGTGAAGTGTGACCACAGCAGCCTCTGAAGAATTGTTTAGAAGAGTGTTTGTAGAATTGCCTGAGAAATGTGATGTGAAAGAATTGAACTGTTTAAAAAGTACTGTACAGAAAAGCTCTGGGGTATCTCATGGAGCCAATGTTCCGATCCTTGAATTTCACGAGTTGTTAATTCTCTGTATTGTCAGAGAAAAAACATAACACAAAAAACACACAATACCAACCAATACCAAAATAAGAAAGGGTGTTACCAAGCCACTTTAATGCTTATTTATGTTGGCTATTGATACATTTAGAATGAAAACATCACATGAAGATAACTGGTATCCTGTATCTGTTTTTCTTGCTGCACATACATATACACCCGCACAAAGATGGATGGATAGATGGATGCAGGGCTTTTTTTGTCATAGAACGCCCATAACAGAGTTCCAGCACCTTTTTTGGATGGAACCTTGTAGGGTAGGTAAGGCAGGTTGTATAACGTGTGTGAGTTCTGGCACCTTTTTTTTTTTTTTACAAGAAAAGCACTGGATGGATGGATGGATGGATGTGTGGTGAGATGAGTGACAAATAATTTTAAAAAGTCATAGAATTGGAAGGAGCCAGATAACTCCTTCGATTTAGCCTTTTGCTCAACGCGAATCCAATTCAGGAATCATTGATTAATATCTGTGGTAGACTCAATACTAAAGGGCAACTGACTATCACCCTTAGATAGTTCATTTATGAAATACTCTTGTGCTCTCTCATGGTTGTTTTTTTCACCTTACTGTTGAAGTGGAATCTGCTTTTAAATATTCTTCTATTCTTATGGTTAATTTTTTTTTTTCACCTTACTATTAAAGTGGAATCTGCTTTTCAGTAACTTAAGGCCTTTATCCCATGGTTTTGCAGCCCGTGAAAGTACAGAACAGGGTTGACATCTGCACAATCTGAAATATTTTAAGCATTCTCTCACACAATCACTCTGTCTCACACATACACACACAAACTCAATTCGATAAAAAGGGATTTCAATAGTTAAAGTTTCAAAATGTATATCTCTGCAGGCACAGCATGATTCTTTAAAAAAAATCTTTGCATTCTGCCCTATTTCCAATGTTGTTTAGAACTATGTTTATTGTGGGAGCTATATTACCATAACAGCTATAATTTGTAAATAAAAAGTAAATTCAAAACCCAACCTAATATTTTTTCTTTTAAGTTTCCTACTTCTTGCTGTGCTATTTTTAAAATCCAACAGTTAACATTTTTCCAATCATCTAAGGATTTCATCCTACCCCTTAAATACCTTTAGAAATTGAGGGTAAAACACTTCTAATTTCAGTAATTGGAAAATGATGAAACTATGTATCATTTGTACATGGAAAAGTAGAAAACCTGGGGGAAGCAAAAATTAATAATAATAATAAGAATTGTGACAGAAGATAGTATCAATGGTAACAGCAACTTGGGTGCAATCCCAAAACATCTGGATCACCACTTGAACATCATTGGCATTGACAAAATCACTACCAGTCAATTGCAAAAGGCACATTACTTGGAATAGCTTCCATCAAAGTACAATATTTTTTATTTATTAGTGTTATTATTTAATGAAGTTAGATGGTTGTCCATCTTACATACATGACTCTGGGCAGCTACCAATATAAATAATGATTAAAAATATGTAAACGGAAGCCATAGCAAGTCACAATTGAACATTGAATATAACCAAGAAATGGGTTTTGTCCCACACCAGGGTCCCCAGGTTAAAGCACAGAGCCAAGTGAAGCAGAAAAACACATTCTGACAACGAGGAGGGATTAATAGGGATTCTGCCCTTCAGAAACAGTTGCCAGAACATTCTGATGATAGGACCACTGGGCAATGTGAATAAGCTCTCAGTCTCTTCTGGGGTAATGTTTACGTTATTGTTTTATCTCTGTAAAAATTATGACCTTTTCCAAACTGAGCTGGAAAAATATTGATCCTACTTTCCAAAACTTGGCATATAAACTATGTTTAAAAGAACAACTCCCATTCTCAAGTGGGTATAATGCAGCATCAACGATTCATCTTGGGCTATTAGCACATAGCATAATATACAAATGGTAAACATAATGAAAAAAGGTACCCTGTTCACAGAATCTCTTATTTTTGACAGCTAGAAATAAATCTGTGAATAATCAGATGGAAGGCAGACTCTTCTACTCAGTGAAACCTGAATCTGTTGAATTTAGAATTGGAACTCATTAATATTATTTAACCCACTAACTCGGGTATATGAATTTCTAATAGACAGATAATTGCTTCTTTGTTACAAGAGTGGGTATTCTCGTCACACCGTTATCCATTTCAAAATGATGCTTCCTTATGTCCTTTGCAATCCTCGCCCTTTTCACTAAATAACTCCTGCTATATTTTCCCAAGTCTGAGAACTTTTGCTGTTAAAGGTCTATTTATATCAAAAATATGTTTGTTTGCTTGTTTTTTTGTATGTGCTTGATAGAAAAAGGATTAGAATTTGCAAAAAAAAGGGAAGGAAATACTCTGTTTCCATTTATATATGTGTTAGATTGTGTGTGTGTGTGTGTGTGCGCGCGCGCACGCAGATGTGTTCACTCATGTGAGGGAGTCTGTGTGTGTATTCATACAGATACACATGCATATATACGTACACATATATATGTGACAATGTATTGCACAATTGCAACTAATTGTGGTTTATTAATTAAGGTTAAACAAACTAGGTTGATGTGTAGGCCAGGCTTTTGTCTTATCTTTGGCATTCTATGAAGTAGACTTGTAGTTGCTTTATCTTTTAATTCGGAAGCATATTCTGTACAAGCAAATGATTTTGGGTTAGAGAGAATTCAGACTAAGCCCATGGATTCTATGCTCTGAACAAGAAACAATAGATTCTTTGTAGTTTTTTTTCACATTCACATTTTTCACATACAAAGCCATCTTTTAGACTGTATCTCTAGTTTAATTTTTCAGAGCTATGCCGTTTTGAAAAAAAATGCAGATTGAAGATAGACTCCTTTGAATAGAAATTTGTTACCAACGTTTGTTAGAGATTATTAGCATTTACTTCTAAAATGTTTTCCTTTACTTTCCTCCCTCGTACACTATAATCCTGTCTCCCCAGGGATGGCCATGTTGAAAGACTTGTAAGGGAAAATGAAATAAAAATAAGTTTCCAGTGTTGTAAAATATTTTTTAAAAAAACCATCTGAATAAAGAATGTACACAAATATCAAAAAATAAATGCCATATTGCAACATGGCTATGCAATCTTCTTGTTTTCTCTTAATGAAAATACATAAAAGAGGAAAAAGAATTAAGTTCCAATCATGCATATATTTGTGGATTCAAAGACTCTTCATGAATAACAAATTCATTTCTTTCTCTGCCAAATTTATTCGCAAAATATCAAAAATAAAAATGTGTTACAGTGACAGCAGTTTTGTATCCTAGATGTTCAAATAAATCTTTGAAGCCAGAAAATGCTGTAGGAAAGACATTCTGGCAAACTCATTCTCACATAATCACAAAAGCGAAGACTGTTTCAGAGAATCATTTCAAAGAGATTATTTGTTCGAATCATTACAGCTACTACAACAAAGAAAGTTGGAGAAACAAGAAGACATCCTTCATCTAGATTAAAACTCTTTCAGTGCTTGGATATCATGTTGCCAAAATATATTATCTTATGAAAAGAATTCAGTGTTTAGAGACATGTCAAACACAAGGTCCACGGGCCGGATGCGGCATGCTATGTGGTTCCATCCAGCCCGGGGACGTGCTCTGGAAAGAGCAAAGGACCGGCCCGCCACACCTCGGCCCGGCCAAGGCCAACCGGGCGCTGATCTACAACCTGGTTGCATCCATTAAAGCCAGAACACGCTCAGCGTTAAATCCACGGGGCAATCCCACCCCATGTCCCAGCGCTCACCCCAGTCCCATCCTCCGCCAGATGATTTGCCCCAGTCCTGCCCAGGCACCCCTGAAGCGAGTGATGTGCTGGCCACGTCTACCGCATAGGCCACACCCACCCGGCCCCCTGAGGGCAACCACAATGCTGATGTGGCCCTCAATGAAATTGAGTTTGACACCCCTGGTTTAGAGAAAGAACAAAAGCAGATCAATGGTAAGAGACATATTCATTTTAAAAAAATAAACTAGACAATCTGTGACCCTCTGGGTCATAGTTTCAGAACTATTTCCTTACCATTTTTTCAATGCCTTTAACAATGGCAGAGATTCTAATAGAATGCTTTTACTTGAAATGTTGGAAGATATTCAGAGATGTATCTGCCTTGAAAATAAGTCGAACTGAATAACATATAGATCTTCCTCCCTCCCTCCCTCCCCTGGATGCAGTATTCCAAGTGTGGCCTTACCAAGATGTTATAAAGTGGTATTAACACTTCATGTGATCTTGATTCTATCCCTCTTTTCAAGAGTATGACAAGCTCATGATGAAAAGCAGATCCCTTGAAAACCACAAAGCAACATCTGATTCTTTTTCACTTCTGTAATTAGTGAGATCTTATAGACATATTCATTTAAAAGACAGAGAAGTTGAGATCTGCAACAAAATACTGCAGAACAAGCTGATTTCTAATATTCTTGTGAAGCTGAACTGCATATCTGCTTATCTCACACACTTCACACATTTGTGTTGCATTGTCAGTATATTTATTTCCTTATTGATCAACATTATCTTTTATAATTATTCCACTGATATGTCAATAGAAGTATATAAATATGCATGTGCATAAAATACAAAACAATACTATTTAATTACATTTATTTAGGCTAAATAATGAATTATACATTTAAACCTAAGTTTGTTAGTATTACTCCTTCTCCCTTTCTGGCTGCCTTTAGCTAGCCACAATATGTCAACAGGGGTCAGTGACAGGCAGCTGTGAAGCTTGCTTGTGAAGAACTCCTTTTACCAGAAGGGATTGCTGACTGCAGAAGATGGAGAATATCACCATATGCCTGTTTCTGAATGCACAGATGTTAGCAAGGACTCAATATACTGTATGTTGCAGAATTGCTAAGCCCCCAGGCTGAAGCATAATGGCGAAATATTAGCTGCATCAGATGCTGGAGCAGGGACCAGCACTAATAATTGCTTAAAAATCTGCACCCTCCCCCCCTCTTTTGGGTATTCTTTATGCATTCTATACTTTTTTGTCTCAAGCTAATCATTGAATATCTCTGGTTTTGAGTAATTGTTTTTCAAATTTCTTACATATCAGTGAAACATTCAGTTAACTGGCAAGAGTGTTCTTACTATAAATTATTGTGTCCAGTTCTTGGCGCTACAATTTTAGGAAGGATTAGGACATACTGGAACAGGTTCCAAGAAGGACAATGATCAGAAGATTAGAACTAGAAACTCAATTATATGAAGATTGATGGAAGAAACAAGAAATATTTAGCCAGAAGAGAAAACTAAAGAGGAATG